ACTCAGACCTAGTGGTCTTGACTATGAGTCCTAACTGAAATACACTGCAGGACTGCGTTTCTGACTCTGCGTCAGCCTCCAGAGTGTAGGCACCCTCACATTCAGAAGTGCAGTCATTGGTGTAGAGACAGTAGAGCAAGGCAGAGAGCGCACAGCTCTGTGGAGCACGAGTGCTGAGGTAGAGAGGGTCCCAGTGTGGCCACCCACCCTGTCATACTGTTTCCTGTTAGCAGAGGTGTAAGTAACGAATTACATTTACTCTCGTTACTGTAATTGAGTACATTACTTGAGTTAATTTGAAATACTTTTACTTCGCTACTTTAATTTTCATAACGTTACAGAGTAAAAATAAATTATGACCATATTAGCTCAGAAACCAGTAAGAAAGACACGCGGCTAAATTTAAAAATTCACCAATTCACCAAAAATTCTCTGGCAGGAAAAACAGTACAGAGATGTCCAGTTTAGTGGAGAAGGACAGAGGAGACCTGAACCCTCACACAAGGAACAGACCGCATCTAAACGGTCATCTGTATTCATTTAACATGAACTAAAGAAACCGGCGTTATTATCAGCGGCCAAACGCAAAACCTGCTGAGATCCGCTCTCACAGCTCGACTTTAACCGAGCTAAACAGGTACCATGTTTACGATTTTCTTCTTTCTTTTATGAAGCTTCTGTTTATTAAACTTGAAATCTGTTGCGTATATTTTATTACAAGTGCCTGTGAGCTACTTTAGTTAACAGGTGTCGCCCACAGCCTGCAGTTTACTGTTTAGCTGCTGCTTTGGAGACAAACAGTCGTGAACGGCTGTGAGACAAGAAATCTAGTCTAATACAGGCTCTTCATAAACTCTGGACAGAGGTTCTGTCGCTGACTGGCCTGATTCTGTACAGATTATTTCCAATGATGTAGCCAAGTAACTCGGTACCTAAGTAGTTTTTCAATAAACTACTTATTTACTCTTACTTGAGTCATTTTATTTACCAATGCTTGTACTTTATTATCACTACAGTAACAGTACTTGAGTGGGGATTTTCAGTACTCTTTACACCCCTCCCTGTTAGATAAGAAGATGTGGGACATTGATCTGCCACAGTTTATCTAGTACAAAGTCAGGACTGATGGTGTTGAACGTAGAGCTAAAGTCTACAAACAGCACACGGGCATCTGCGTTAGGGCCGTCCAGGTGCTGCAGGATGTAGTACAGAACTAATGACCTAATGAACTGTAAACACTGATGTCACCGAGTCATGGTCCTTTTGCGGTGGCGTGAGAACGCCTAATCATGTGAGTGTGTGTGTCACCGTGCTGGTCAGTTGTGTCATTTTCACACACATTCTGTGGAAGTCAGTGGTGCTCTGTGTGTCTGTCACGTAGCAAGCAAACCAAACCATCATTAAAGAGCCCATATGGGGGAAATCTCTCCCTTTTTGAAATAACTGTAAATATTACAGTTCGCTCCTCCGTCCATATACAGGAACAAAGCGGCAAGAACAGCCTGTTTTGAACGCAGTGCTTTTGTGATGTCACAAAAGCCAACTCTTTCATCAATCTGCTTTTTTTAGCCTGCAGTGGTTTGGCCTTGCCTATTTCCGGATTAGCTCTGGAGTGTTTCAACCCTGATGTGCTTTTTGAATGAGGCACGGCCAATCAGAACTGACCTCATTTACGTATATCAGTCTTTAATGGGGGATTCCACTGATTTTTCAAAGTTAATGCATAATTCAGTGATTGAGATGTGAGGAAAGTCATTGAGAGTGGTTGATTTCACCGAACCATTCTGAACGACTTCTTTTGTACCTCATCGTCATTCCATTTGAATTCAAATTTGGTGGTATTCCCCTTTAAAGGGACAGTATCAAAAAAACAGTTTAATTGTAAGGGATAAAATGGTCAGGTAACAATGAATTCTGACAGTTTTTTGTACACAAATCCACAAAAACATTAATAAAAATGTTAAGTGGACCTCAGGGAAGAAAAATAAAATAAGGAAATGGGCCCTTTAAGAAAAAAGTCCCTTGTTGAGGTTGCTGGGTTTAGTCCTGGGGGAATGAAGTTTTTCCACTCCGCTCTCTAACAGTAAACCTGACTCAACTCAATTATGCTTCCCTCTGTGTGTATTAACCTGTGTGTTTTGGCTGCAGGGCTCTCCCGTAACTCACACACCATGCTTCCTCATTCTGTCTCTCTCCATCTGTGTTTATACACACAGCCGTGTGCAAAAGTCCAGTCAACATAACCGCTTTGATGATTTTCTAGGTGTAAATTAGTAACACATCCTCTACAGAGACACACTACGCTCTGTAGTTTATATTTTATGTTTTAATAATTAATAACACATTGAAATTGAAAAAAAGCAACAAGACATGGGATCTACCTGGGACACCCAAACCTTTACACATGACTACGGTTTTCACTTCCCTGTCTGTTTTCTGAGGTTTTTAATACTTTCCACCAACTAATATCGTTCCAGCTTGACCACTGTTCCTTCTTCTCCCATGCAAACGTTTTTAGATAAAGGGTTCTATGTTCCCAGGGCCCTATATTCTTAGTGTCCTATTTTCTTAGGGTCCTGTGTTGTCAGGGTCCTATTTTCTTAAAGTCCTATGTTCCCAGGGCCCTATATTCTTAGGGTCCCTATGTTCCCAGGGCCCTATATTCTCAGTGTCCCTATGTTCCCAGGGCCCTATATTCTTAGGGTCCTATTTTCTTAGGGTCCTATGTTCCCAGGGTCTGTTTTCTGACGTTTCTTGCTTATCATTACAGCCTGACCACTGTCACGTTTCTTGCTTATCATTACAGCCTGACCACTGCTCCTTCTTTACCCATGTAAACATCTTTAGATAAAGGGTTCTATGTTCGCAGGGCCCTACATTCTTAGGGTCTTATTTTCTTGGGGTCCTATGTTCCCAGGGCCCTATTTTTTGTCTGTTTTCTGAGGTTTCTAATACTTTCCAGCAGCTAATACCGTTCCAGCTTGACCACTGTTCGTTCTTCTCCCATGCAAACATCTTTAGATAAAGGGTCCTATATTCTTAGGGTCTTATTTTTCCAGGGTCCTATGTTTGTAAGGTCCCTATGTGCCAAGGGCTTTATGTTCTTAGGGTTCTATGTGTCTAGGATCCTATGCTTTTAGTGTCCTGTGTTCCCAGGATCTTATGTTCCTAGGGTAAGACTGTATGTTTTTCACTTCCCCCTTTGTTTTCTGAGGTTTCTAATTATTATCATTTCAGCGCGTCCACTGTTCCGTCTCCTCCTGTACAAAAATCTTTAGATAATTCAGCGAATTAAATGGTGCAGATACAAAGTAATTGTTTCTAGTAATAAATTATTTTGTGATCAGTATTCGGTAGTGCACATATGTTCCCAGGATCCTATGTTTTTAGGGCCCTATGTTCTTAGGGTCTTATGTTGCCAGGGCCCTATGTTCTTAGGGCCCTATGTTCTTAGGGCTCAATGTTCCAAGTGCCCTGTGTTTTTAGGGCCCTATGCTCTTAGGATCGTATGTTCTTAGGGTCCTATGTTCCAGGGGCCTATGTTTTAATGGTCTTATAGTCTTAGGGTCCTATGGTTCAAGGGCCCTACAGTTCAAGGGCCCTATGTTCTAAGAGGCCTATGTTTGTACGGTCCTATGCTCCCAGGATCCTATGTTCTTACTGCCTTATGGTCGCAGAGTCCTATGCTCCTTTTACCCAAATTCCAAGGGCCTTCTTAGGGTCCTATATTCCCAGGCCCCCTCAGCCCTTTATGTGATACATCATTCCTCAGTGTGACACAGTTATATGCAAAAGTTTGGGCATCTCTGTGCAATAAATTGTCTGAAATGTGCTGATGAAATGGCAGTTAAGGGGAACTGTGGAAGTCAAGGCACTGCAAAACTCTCAGACAGATCCTCTCGTATGCTGGTCTATCACAATAATATCTGGGCATGTTGGTGGTAGGCTGACATATAGGGTCATGGGAACATGAGTTGTTTCCTAGAAAATTACACAGAGGGAACACAGGGCCCTGAGGAACATGGTTCCGTTTTCCAGACACTTCAGTCAGAAAACAGAGGATCTGGGGAACATAAGGATAACTAATTATTCCATATAATCCATTTTTCACATTGAATATAGCTGCGTGCATCTTCAATATGGAAGTCCTCACCTAAACATGAAAATGCTTTTGTTTCTGTGAAGGAGTTTCTTTGGAGGGAAGGTCAGACTAAAGAGGCCTGAATTGAGGTTTTTCACTTTATTTGCTGTTCCTCTGTTTGTGTCTTTGCTAATGTTAGTCTGTGTTTCCTGTTTCTCATTCATCCTTTCTGTGTTAGCGTGTCACAATCATCAGATGAGGTTCCTCTTTATTTAAAAGGGTTGCTATTGCTGTGAAAACACAGACCATCTGACCTCTTTCCTAATTCTCACATCTTACAGTGCCAGCCATCCATAATAAAGTACCCTGAAATAAATTGAAAAATATTGGCTCAGTACTTCTGGATTTGACTTGTAATATGATGGTGGACAATAAATGAGCTGCAAAAAAAAAGTAACACATCGTTAGCAGAATTTCATTACCAGAATTAAACAAACTATTCATTTTTGCCTGTAATATGTCTTTAACTGTTTTAAATGTACTGAAGGTGGGTAGACGCTGTGACAGTACTGCAAAGATAATCTTACAGCATCACAAAAAAAAAGGTTTTATTACCTACAGCAGTAGTGGAACCCTTTCTTTATATTAGAGAAGAACAGTTTAACTACACAAAGGACAATTTCTGCATTCAAATGTTCCTCTGAGTGTTCATAGTTGGATATATAAACACTGAAGAACCTTTAAGGAACCACTTTTTAAGGGTCTAGTTTGTATGTAAATGTATGTCAACTAAGAAGGTCAAAAAACCAGATAGACGTGGTTTTCCCTCACTGAGCTGACGTCGTTTTCTTCGAGGTTTCTGAGAAGTTTTGGAACTCCCCACCCAGGAAAGGCGGGTATAAAAGTCACTGTTCAGCTGAGACTTCCTCATAACACACACTTAACACAGACAGACAGACAGACAGACAGAACTCTACTGCAGGTAACTCAACTCTCTCTCTGAGGACCTGAGGACTGTCGGATCAGGGATTTTTCTACATTTATCACACAATTCAGGTATCGGCTTCATTAATTTATCATAATCATGACTGATTATCGCTGAATAACATGCAGAACATGTTATGAGGCTGTGAATGTTTACTGTTTGTTTTAGGAGTCCAAGCACTGAAAGCAGTGACATGCTAATTTCTATTTTTCATTATTTTATGTCACATTACTGTAATCTTATTCTTACTAAATCTGATTATTACGAGGTACTACTACAGAAATTGCAAATTTGGACCTGGCTTCTATGTGCTTGGACCCCTACGATTGCCACTTTTATACCGTTTATTGTAAGCTTCAAACAAGATTATGTTTTTTATTACACGTCATACAGTGCAGATGCAATTTTTCCATTTTTATTATAATGCATGCTCAGACCTAGACTTAAATGTGTTATATTTTTTTATCAAAGATGCAATGCATGAACGTAAATTGTGTTGAATGTGACAAAAAAAGGGGCCAATTCTTAATACGTTAAAGAGCAATTCCACCAATTTTTTCAAAATTCCTGCACAATTAAGTGTTTACGATGTAAACAGCGTCGTTCAGAGTGGTTTGGTGTGAAACGCTCCGTTCTAGAGAAACTTACCGAGTCAGCACTGTTCACAGTGGTGGTGATAGGAACCAGACGTCCACCTCTAAAAGCTCCCTCACAGAAAGTTCCTACACGAAATGGTTATGAATTCACTGCCTGATGACTGAGACACTGTTTTATGATGTTTTATGATGGTTTAAACTCCATTCATGGTGGAGGGATACATGCAGGGCGCTGTGAGGCAAAATAGTCCCCAAAGAAAACTTATTATTTCAGATTTTCCACTATTTTCCATCATCAACATTCCATACACTCTTCAGAGCTCTCTAACTGACTTCTTAACAATTTAACCACTTAATTATGCAGAATTTTTAAAAAATTGGTGGAATTCCTATACAATATGCATACATATATAAGATTATGATTAAGTAACACATTCAATTTTTTTAAATCAAATTTGTGGAGTTTCTACAAAATGTATCAGCACAGTTACTGCCAAAAGAAAACTGACAATTGTGTTAACATATTTTATGCATGTTGAAATTTTTTCACATTTGGATTAAGTACATTTACTTTTATTCTATTCAAGAAGTATTTAGTTACATATTTACATCACTTTTGTCATGTGACACATTCCATAAATGCCACTAACCCAATGTGATCTATGATCTGATGTACATTCTGTGCATTCATGTGACACGTCTGACGAGCGCCACGCATGATTTAATCTGTAATCTGTTTGTTCTGCAGATTTTCAGCGATGTCGGACCAGCTGACGTTCGCCATGGAGAACCGTGAGCGGATCCTGGCGGTGGAGAACTCGTTCGGTCCCTCTGGGAAGTCTCTGCTGGAGCCGGGCCGCATTCTGGTGGGGGAGGGTCGCCTGATGAAGCTCTGCAGGCGGCGTCCCCAGCCCAAAGTCTTCTTCCTCTTCAACGACATCCTGGTTTACGGCAGCATCGTGATGGCGGGCCGCTGGAACAAGAACCAGCACATCGTCCGGCTGGAGGAGGTTCAGCAGGAGGATCTGGAGGACAGCGTGGACATGAGCAACCAGTGGCTCATCAAGACACCCAGGAAGTCCTTCTACGTAGGCGCGGCTTCCGCGGAAGAGAAGCAGGCCTGGATGGAGCACATCGAGAACTGCAGGAGCCAGCAGCTGCAGCGCCTGGGCCTTCCGGCTAACGCGCCGGCCATCAAAGACTTCGCAGCAACGTGGATCCCGGACAACGCCTCCGCCATCTGCATGCGCTGCTCCGAGCGCTTCAGCATGGCCCACCGGAGGCACCACTGCAGGCGCTGCGGCTTCATCGTCTGCAACTCCTGCTCCAAAGCACGCGCCGTGCTCAGACACATCTCTTCCAAGCCCGTACGGGTGTGCATGCTCTGCAAGGTCAACCTGGAGTGTCAGGAGCGGCTGCAGCGGCAGATGAAGAACCAGGGACGCAACCAGCCGGGGAAAGACTGGAAAACCAGGTCCAGCGACAACATTCCCGAATACGAGACCTCAAGTGAAGAAGATACAGACGAATCAGTGGAGAACAATTCGCCAACTCAGTGGTTCAACAGCCAGGACAACTGTTCTCCCTACTGCTACTTCAACCCAGACCACGTTAAACCACCACGGTTCTAGAGGACGTCAGAACCTTAAACTAATCAAAGACAGCTGTTCTGGGGTCAGAAACACATTATGATTCATGAAGAAAGACATTTTTATTGTGTATTTTAACAAAGTTAGTGCTGCTTCCCAACCTCTGGCCTGCAGTGATACTGATGTGAAAAACAAACACATATCTGCTCATGAACCCTTCATACTGACGGAACTGGTTCTACTGCAGGAACTGACTTACACTTGAACAAAGTATTCAACACTAGAGTCTCTGCTGTTAAACATTAATATGAAGACTTTCTGTACTGGAAATGTACTTTCTGCAAACTCTTTTTGTGAATAAATATGTATTATTTATTATATAATCTACTGTAAACAGTCACCTTATATAAAGTATCAATTTATTTAACACTTATTATGTTTAACCATGTAAACCAATATGGGTGAACAGATCAACACTGCACTTTAATATTGAAAGACTAATAAATGTGGTTATTAAAGGATGCTGTGCGTATTTTGGACTTATTCTCAGAAGAATGCATCACACTATTCTTTATTATTAACCATGATATCACAGTAGTAGATAGGAAGTACGTCAAGGTCAAGTCAAAAGTTAGTCAAAGGTTATTTATATTGTGCTTTTTTACAACAGGTGTTGTCACAAAGCAGCTCTACAGAAAAATCTGGGACCAAGCCCCCATGAGCGTCGCCAGTGGTGACAGTGGCAGGAAAAATGCCTTAACCTTTTTAACCTTTTTGGTTCCAGAACACACTTCGTCATATTCTTTACTTTATAACTTTCATATTTCATAAGCTACATTCTAAAGGTGGGGGTCGTATGAGAGCTGTAACTGTCTTCTTTCAAACAGATGAGTAATGTAGTGTTAAAACTTTATAATAAAAGAAGCTGAACTCACAATTTTTTTTCCTACTGAAAGTCGACTCATTTTTCCACAAATCTGAGCTACAAACTGGATCTTAGATGGCGTCTCTTCAGTGATCTGCTCCGTAAAAATTATTTTTATTAAAAAATACAAAGAGCTTCTAAGATTTTTGGCTTTCAGCAGTAAATTTTAAGCATATAGCAATATGTTTATAATCATAAAACACATGTTCTGTTAATTTGAGGGGAGCTTTTGCAAAAAAAAATAAAATAAAAATTTACATTTATTTCATGCAGTTAGTGAATAATTTGCCTTCAGATTTGGGCATGTAAATTCAGATGGAAAAAACGAAATATACCCACGAGCATAAGAGGCTGAGAGTTTTATTAAGTATTTTTATCTTCATATATCACTTTTAAAACCAAAGTGCTTTACAATAAAACACAACAGTGTACAGTCCTCAATCCACAGTTCAACAGTTGAACAGCAGCTGAAAGCTAATCAATAAAGATGTGTTTTAAGCTTGGTTTTAAAAACAGTCACAGGTGGTTAGACATTGAAAGGTTAAACTGGAAACATATGATAGAGCAGCGTTTCTCAAACGGTGGGCCGCGGTGAAGTTGATGTTGTATCAACATCTTATACAGTCAACAATGTCAGTTTTTTCTTTTTAGAGCACGTCATGTGAAATAATGATAATAACCTCCCTCTGACTCACTTTCTTCTCCGACTGCTGTGTCTCTCCTCGTCCCTCCCCTGTGTGTGCGTCACTCACTTGCGTCTCAGTGCTCATCATAATGCACAGATCTGATTGGCTGAGTAGCGTCACGTGTGATATTTACAACACATGCGATTGGTCTGTGAGTCTCCGGCCACTAAAGCTACCATAAAGGCTAGAAAAGTTACACTGGTTAAAATAGGACCACCCGTCAAAATTAAAGAATTCTCCATAGTTTATCAGTTATAGGTCCATTTCTGCATAGGACAGCGTCTGGGTACAGACTCGGACCGTGGTCCGCCTATTAGTGACCTCTGATCTAGTGGTCCATGGGCCTGTTCTCAGGGCGAGGCAGTAGCTCATAGTGGGCCAGTAACGTCACTTTAAGTCATAAAAACATAAGTGAAAAATGTTTAACTTTTCACACCTTTTCTTTAGTTTTGTTTCGTTGTTGGAATCGTTTTATGATCAAACTAGGGAATCCATTAATAGAGCTTCTCTTCTAGATGCACTTTCAGCATCGTACAGTCAGTATAATCTGCCTATTTTCCTGTAACTCGAACTGCAGCTGTTGAAAATGACAGACGAGCCTTAAAATAATAACAAAAATCCGCGTTTGATTTCAGCTCATTGATCTCGAGCGTCAGCGAAATGAGTGTTTAAACTCAAACAGCCAGTGACAGAAGCAGATATCAAGTGAGGTTTATTATTACTGTTGATTGTGACGACACTAATCCAGAGGCCCGGTGAGTGGACTGAGGTTTAGCTATTTCAAATGATTCACAAAAACCCTCAAAACTAAAGAGACTTCGGTGAAAATGCAGTGGACTGCAGCTCAATCACAGTCCACATTTACCGTGCACATTTCTATTCTCTCCCTGTTTTTTGTAACATCACTTCAACTATATGTGTTATGGTTTTTAACATAACTGTTATTCTGGTTTCTGTTATTGAACCTATCTGATCTTTTTCAGGCCCTCAGGTTTTCAGTGTCAGCACTTAAGAAAAGAAACAGAAAACTGCAGTTAGTTTTCTTGTGGGCTGCTATGCTTTGTATGTATGAACAGGTGGGCCTTGAGATGGAAAAGGTTGAGAACCCCTGCGACAGAGGATTTACTATTTACTAATATACCTATGACGTCTGTAAGTATCTGGGCGAAGAACACAGTTCATGTAACGCTGCACAGTGAGTCAGACGCTTGCGGGGAAAAGAATACAAAGCTTTACTAGAAGATGTGTTATACAAACTCATAATCAGGAAACATGCTGAGGTCAAAGCCAGAGAAAAGCGATAACAAACCATAAGGGGCATTCAGAGAACAGTGAGGAGAAAAATACAGAGGAACAAAAACACAGCATAAAAACAAAGCATGTCCCCAGTATTTGCAGGTGCTGACCATTCAAGTCTATAAACACCATCAAGGCCATTTTATACTGGACTCTGTAGTGCGCTGGGAGCCAGCGTAAGGATGTAAAACTAGAGTAATGTGTTCTCTTTTCTTCGTACCGGTCAATATTCTGGCCGCAGCATTTTGAACTGCTTGTATACGAGCAAGAGATGCTTCATTTACACTACAGTAATCCAGAATAGATATGACTTTTTCAGATCCCAGATGATAAGAAATGATTGTAATCTGGAGGTTGTGCTGGAGATTGTTGAGGCTGGAAGAAACTGGTTTTGACCACTGCATTCATTTGCTTATCAAATATTTGGCATTTTACTATCATTCGGTTGAAGAAAGTCCAGGGTCATCCAGTTTATAACATCCATGATACACTCAGAGTAACAACGTCCAAGGTTCAAAGGTCAGTACAGCCATAGATCATCTGCGTAACAGTGAAATGAGATTTGTTTGTGAATAATCTGGCCGAGGGGAGCATATATTATGAAAAAAGGAGAGGGCCTAAAATGGACCCTTGTGGAACCCCAGCTGTCATAGGCACAGATGAGCTGTAAACAGTAGCACATTAAAGGTCAAGGGTCAGTGCATGTTCTTTTAGTTACTAATGCCTCACTAAAATAAAATAATCAATTTAAGTCCTATTTGTTTTGTTTATCAGGAGGAAGTGTGCAATAAAAATGTTACACATCCCCTCATTGATTAAACTCTTTGCGAGTGATTTTGCTAGGAGGTTGCTCACTGGTTGCTGTGGTGTTGCAAACTGGTTGCTGGTATCTCTGGTAGTTGCTATAGTATTGTTTGGTTGACTACTATGGTATCCCAGGTAGTTGCTAGGGGTATTGCTAAGCTGGTTGCTATAGTATCCCTGGTGGTTGCTAGGCAGTTGCTTTGGGGTCCCAGAAGGGTGCTAGGATGTTGCATCTCTCATGGTTGCTTGGATTTTGCTAGGTGGGTGCTGTGGTATCTCTGATGGTTGGTAGGGGTTAATAAGTGGCTGCCGTGCTGCTCAACGTGGTTGCCATGATGTTTCTAAGTGGTTGCTACAGTGCTGCTAAACGATTACTATGATATCTCTTGGTTGCTAGGTTGTTGCTAGGCAGTTGCTATGATATTCCAGGTGGTAGCTAGGGTGTTACTACGTGGTTGCTGCCATATTCAAGGTGGTTCGTAGGGTGCTGCTAGATGGTCGCTATGGTATCCAGCAGCAGTTAGCCAACAAGCTAACGTTATAGTTAGCAATCTGGCTAACTCACCTATAGCAAACTGTGCAAAAGTAAGGATGATCTCTCTCGACTTGCAGCGTATCAGAGAGTCTCTCTTTCATGTGTTTATTTATTAATAGTGAGTAAGAAATCTTTAAACATTCACGATTAAACAACACTAAAATTAGCGCTTACTACAATTTGGAGGTTCAGTGCTGCAATGTGAAGCTCCACCCCTTGAGAAGTCGACAAAGCAGTAGTGTTAGTTGAATAAAGTTGAACTCAACAATTTTACACACGAAATTTATTCACCCTGGAAGTTTGGGACGCAAAATCACTCAACGCAGCGAATTCCTTTGAAATGAATGTGATTTCACTGGCAAAAATGTGCTGACAAACGCAAACAGGGCCTTAAAGAGCTTTTAATAACACACAGTGAAGGCAGAAGTGAGCGAAGTTCACCACAACCTCAGCCAATGGTTGCTGACGTCCTTCCAGTTTTACTCATCTGATAAGCAGTAAACCAGAAGAGCGGTTGTTCACAGAGTCCCAGTTTAACAGACTGAGTTCAAAGAGAAAGAACCTTCTGTGGTTTACAAACCCCTCAAACTCAGACTGAAACTACTCAGCGCTCATGCTCTGCAAACTTATTACATAACATACTGATTTGCTAGTTTATTGGAAACACCTACACTCGCTGGCCAACACCTTCCGTATACAGTGGCTTACACTTTAACCATTTGTTAACTTCTATCTTCATAAAATGTTGAACAGAATGATGAAATGAGTCAGCCAACTTTATTTTAAAGACCACAGGAGCTAATAAAAGTAAAATAGAGGCATCAAAAATATGTAACAAATAGGATAGTAAATAAAATCAAGGTAGGAATTTACCTGGACATGCAGTTAAGAACATTAAAACCATTTAAGAAGATTTAAAAGATATGTTTTAAAATTAGACCTAAAAGAAAGAAGCATCATTACAGAGAAACAGGCTAAAACATGGTGGGCGTGCGCTGCTCCGAGTCGCCCTGTAAAGCCTGAAATAATCATTTAAAAGTCAGAGGCGTCTGATACGAGACTGTGTGTCAAACAACGTACACTCTGAAAAAGCTCCTCTTGAGGGGCGAGTTGTTACAGTCACTAAAATGTCAGATAAATCGATGCAAAACAAAATTAATTCAGTTCAGTTTAAACTTTTATAATCATAACAGTTTGAAAAATAGTGCGACTTTAAAAGTATTTAACTCAACTGACAACAAAGGACTTTTATTTTGACATTCTTTACCTTCCCCAT